CCCGGCGCCGGCCTCCTGGGCCTGAGCACTCGCATGCCCGGGCCCCGCACGCCAGTGACGCCCTGCAGCACCTGTCTCGGTGTGTCTGTGTTCTCCAGAAAGGTCAGGTGAGGGAAGACGAAGACGGGGCTGTTCCAGGGCCACGTGTTCAAACCAGCAGCTGTAGCCAGTTTTGCAACTAAATTTAAATTCATTAGAATAAAGTGAAATTACAAGTGCACTTGTTTGGCCGGACTGGCCACATTGCCAGAGCTCAGCAGGCATGCGTGCCTGATGCCGCCCCACTGGACCGGACTCACAGGACGTTTCCGTCCTTCCAGAAAGTTCTGTTAGAGAATGCTCTTCCAGGTTCATGGAGGCAGAAAGGACTTGATTAAAGTCACCTGTGATCCAGGATTATGCCGGGACTGTATTCTATCAGGACGTCTTGTTTGTCCTTTATCTAGTAAGAAATGTTGAGTGCTGTCTAGAGATGAGGTAATGTGGGACCTACGTTAATTTCCTGGTTTTGACATTGGTGCTGTGACTGGGGGCGGGGAGTCCTTGTTCTCAGGAACGGCACACTCAGGTGTTTGGGAGGAGGGGCCGCATCTGCACTTTACTCTTATGTGTTCAGAAAAAGTGTGCACACACGGATACACACAGATAAAAAGGTACACATTGATGCACACAGATACACGCACAGAAATACATGCAGATACACACAGAAATACACACAGAGAAATACACGCAGATACACACAGAAATACACACACAGAAATACATGCAGATACACACAGATACACACAGAAATACACGCAGATACACACAGAAATGCACACACAGAAATACACGCAGATACACACAGATACACACAGATACACACACAGAAATACATGCAGATACAGATACACACAGATACACACACAGAAATACATGCAGATACAGATACACACAGAAATACACACATACACACGCAGATACACACAGATACACAGATACACACACGGAAATATACAGATACACATTGATGCACACAGGTAAGCAGATACACACCATCACACAGATACACACACAGAAATACATGCAGATACAGATACACACAGAAATACACACACAGAAATACACGCAGATACACACAGATACACACAGAAATACACGCAGATACACACAGATACACACAGAAATACATGCAGATACACACAGAAATACACACACAGAAATACACGCAGATACACACAGATACACACAGAAATACACACACAGAAATACACGCAGATACACACAGATACACACAGATACACACACAGAAATACATGCAGATACACACAGAAATACACACACAGAAATACACGCAGATACACACAGATACACACAGAAATACACGCAGATACACACAGAAATACACACACAGAAATACACGCAGATACACACAGATACACACAGAAATACATGCAGATACACACAGAAATACACACAGAGAAATACACGCAGATACACACAGATACACACAGATACACACACAGAAATACATGCAGATACACACAGAAATACACAGAAATACACGCAGATACACACAGAAATACACACACAGAAATACACGCAGATACACACAGATACACACAGAAATACATGCAGATACACACAGAAATACACACACAGAAATACACGCAGATACACACAGATACACACAGATACACACACAGAAATACATGCAGATACAGATACACACAGATACACACACAGAAATACACACATACACACGCAGATACACACAGATACACACAGAAATACATGCAGATACACACAGATACACAGAAACACATGCAGATACACACAGATACACACAGAAATACACGCAGATACACACAGAAATACACAGAAATACACGCAGATACAGATACACACAGATACACACACAGAAATACATGCAGATACACACAGAAATACACACAGAGAAATACACGCAGATACACACAGATACACACAGAAATACATGCAGATACACACAGAAATACACACAGAGAGATACACACAGATACACACAGAAATACATGCAGATACACACAGAAATACACACACAGAAATACACGCAGATACACACAGATACACACAGAAATACATGCAGATACACACAGAAATACACACACAGAAATACACGCAGATACACACAGATACACACAGATACACACACAGAAATACATGCAGATACACACAGAAATACACACAGAGAAATACACGCAGATACACACAGATACACACAGAAATACATGCAGATACACACAGAAATACACACAGAGAAATACACGCAGATACACACAGATACACACAGAAATACATGCAGATACACACAGAAATACACAGAAATACACGCAGATACAGATACACACAGATACACACACAGAAATACATGCAGATACACACAGAAATACACACACAGAAATACACGCAGATACACACAGATACACACAGATACACACACAGAAATACATGCAGATACACACAGAAATACACACATAGAAATACACGCAGATACACACAGATACACACAGAAATACATGCAGATACACACAGAAATACACGCAGATACACACAGATACACACAGAAATACATGCAGATACACACAGAAATACACACACAGAAATACACGCAGATACACACAGATACACACAGATACACACACAGAAATACATGCAGATACAGATACACACAGAAATACACACATACACACGCAGATACACACAGATACACAGATACACACACGGAAATATACAGATACACATTGATGCACACAGATACACATTGATGCACACAGGTAAGCAGATACACACCATCACACAGATACACACACAGAAATACATGCAGATACAGATACACACAGAAATACACACATACACACGCAGATACACACAGATACACAGATACACACACGGAAATATACAGATACACATTGATGCACACAGGTAAGCAGATACACACCATCATACAGATACACACACAGAAATACATGCAGATACAGATACACACAGAAATACACACACAGAAATACACGCAGATACACACAGATACACACAGATACACACACAGAAATACATGCAGATACACACAGATACACACACGGAAATACATGCAGATACAGATACACACAGAAATACACACATACACACGCAGATACACACAGATACACAGATACACACACGGAAATATACAGATACACATTGATGCACACAGATACACATTGATGCACACAGGTAAGCAGATACACACCATCACACAGATACACACACAGAAATACACGCAGATACACACAGATACACACACAGAAATACATGCAGATACACACAGATACACACACGGAAATACACGCAGATACACACACGGAAATACACGCAGATACACACAAATACAGATACACACACGGAAATACACAGATACACACAGATACACACAGGTAAGCAGATACACACACAGAAATACACGCAGATACAGATACACACAGAAATACACACATACACACGCAGATACACACAGATACACAGATACACACACGGAAATATACAGATACACATTGATGCACACAGATACACATTGATGCACACAGGTAAGCAGATACACACCATCACACAGATACACACACATAAACACACGCAGATAGACACTGATAAACATAGATAAACACATAGATACCTGTACACACAGGTAGGGAATAATTAACACACCACAAGCACGTGAGCCGGTGTTGTCTCTGACCAGTGACCAGCCCAGCTGGAATGGAGGAGCGGCCCCACGTGGAGGCTGCTCTGGGCCTGGGGTGATGCCCGCTGGGGGCGGGTGGGCGGGAGGATCCGTGTCTGCTGGGCTCCACGTGTCCCCTGGGAGTTCTGCGTGCAGCTGGGCTGACGCCATGCCTGCTATAGCTTCTGATTCTGGCCTGGCCTTCATCTGCATCTGTCCGTTTGTTCAAGTTTCCGGTCAGCAGACCTGCATCTCTGCAGGTCTCTTGAAGTTGAGCTGTTGGGCCCTTGGAAGTGAAAGTCGCTCAGTCGTGTCCAACTCCATGGACTATATACAGTCCTTGGAATTCTCCAGTCCAGAATACTGGCGTGGGTAGCCTTTCCGTTCTACAGGGGATCTTCCCGACCCAGAGATCCGACCCAGGGATCGAACCCAGGTCTCCTGCATTACACGAAGATTCTTTACCAGCTGAGCTGTATCCCTTAGAGGCTGTTACGATGGGGTTGATGGGTCTGCAGCCCTGGCTTGGTGTTCAGCTGTGCACTGTGGTCCTGACCTTGTGGGCACCACGCCGAGGTGGACTGATGGGAATCTGATGGCTCCGCTCTGTGCCATCGGGGCAGGTCATTAACTCCGCCAGGCACGTCCTGCTAGGGAACCAGGCCTCAGGAGCCCTGGTCCAGCTGCAGGGACTGGACAGGATCCGAACCCTGTGACTCTGAGGTCTGCGCTCCAGGCCGCCTTGTCAGCTGCCCCGTCTTTCCCGGCTCCCTCTCCACAGGGACTGGAAGCCCATGACCCTGTTCAGCTACCCACCCCCCGCCTCCTGTTCCGGCTGTGCTGCCCACAGTGGGCTGGGAGCGCAGATGCCGGGTTCCTAGGTGGAGGAGGCGCCTGGAGGCTGCTCTGGGGTTTGACGCTGGCCTTCATGCTCCCCACTTCCGTGTGTGCCCTGCGCTGCTCCAGGGCTCCGCGTGGCTTCCGTGGGCCTTTGTCATGTGCAGAGCAACGGGAATGTGTCTGTGCCGGGGAAGGCAGTGTGCATGTGTGTGTGCACACGTGTGTGTGCACACATGTGTGTGCGTGCTCCATGCCCGCTGACTGAACCCCAGTCTGTTTTGTTCCAACCGTGATCGTCTTGAGTTGGGACGTGTGGCTCCCCAGACGGGGTATGGCCACGGCGTCTGCTCTGAGCTGGGCGGCGCTGGGAGGCAGGGTTTGCTGCTGTTGGTATTAGTGCCCCGCAGACCATGCAGCTTGAGTGATGCTCCCTTCTCTCCTCTAGTTCCTGTGTTTGAAGAATATCCGCACCTTCCTGAAAGTCTGCCATGACAAGTTTGGACTCAGGAACAGCGAGCTGTTTGACCCCTTCGACCTCTTCGATGTCCGAGACTTCGGGAAGGTGAGTGGCCTCTTTCCGGAGCGGGCCCGACCCCCCCCCCCCGGGCAGAGCCCCATGGGCGGGTGCAGGCCGGGCTGTGTTACAACCGGAGGAGGCGCTTCGGGGGCTGGGGCTGTGGGACGGCCCCTCCCGCCTTCTCAGGCTGTTCAGAGTAAAGTCAGGGCATCGTGAACCCAGGAGGATAGAGGGAAAGCTGGCCTGGATGAGTCCAGACCCGGGGTGCAGCCCTGCCCCGGCTTTTCCAGTCGAGCGACCCTGGGCGTTTGCTTCCTGCCCTGAATCTCCCACCCTCTCTGGGCGAGCAGGCACCAGCTCGTGGGGCAGGCCCAGACGGGCAGGCCCCGTGCTTGCTGCGGTGTGCTGAGAAGGGAGCTGCCGCCTCCGCCTCACCGGAGACAAGTGGGGCTGTGTGGCTCCCAGCAGGGTCGGGCGGGGACAGGTGATCGTGTGAACTCCTCGTCCCTGGAGGTGATGCACTGGGTCCATGGCAGAGAACTCGGGAAGCCTCCCTGCTTTCTCAGCAGGCGTCCCCAGCCGCTGTCGGGCAGAGTCCATGGCCGGGCGGGGTTGCAGCGCGCCGTGGCTCCTGGTGAGCCTGGGTCCACAGTGTCCTTGCCGGTCGTCACGTTCCATCTGGAAGCCAACAGTTCCCGGGTCCCTCCTTTTAAAAGATGGAGTCAGGACGTGATACCTTGCTGGTGGATCGGGGGCCGGGGGCTGGAGTCGGACCTGGCTCTGTGCTGCGCTGTGGCGCAGTTGTCCCCGAGTCCCTGCCTGCTCTTGGAGGGGCCCTTCCCTCCGCGGTCAGTGCTGGCTTTGTGAAACGGGCACTTCCCGGACTACCCAGGGACGAGCTTTCACCTGCTTACGGGAAGTTATCGGACAATATTTATTGCCTGCTTTATCTGAGGACCATTATCAGGGACCTGGTGTTTGAGGAAGTGTTCTGTGAACACATGATTTATTAAATGCAAGGGGAATTTTGTATTTGCAAATGCTGAGAAGTCAGTTCCAAGAGGAGCCCTCATTTGAGGTGCTGTAAAGTGTCAAATTAGCATCGATCACTAGGACCTTCCCATAAGCCACCTGGGCCTGACAGTCCTCTTCGCTTCTGAGAGTCTATAGACGTGATTCGGGGACCAGCTGTGTCTGCACCAGCGCTCAGAAGTCTCTCCTCCTCTCTTTTATTTTTTTTTTTTTCTCCTCCTCTCTTGAGTGACTCTCCCACGTCCCTCTGGCTGCGAGGCGTTAGCCTAGGACTCTGAGGCTTCCTGGCTTCCCTTTGCTGGGGCAGGAGCCCGTGCCAGCGCCCTTCCCATCAGTGAGCTTCGCAGCTTCCGCAGACTTGCTTTTAAGTGGATTAGAACCTCTTTCCTGTTTTTACTTCTTGTGACCAGCAGTGTCCTGAGCAGGGGAGAAGCCAGTGGCTCTGGACTTTGGGGGAGGCCTTCAGAACACACACATATACTTTTCTACAAATACTCACACACACAGCTGGTGTTTAAAACAATTGTATAGGAAAACAGGATAAACCCTGGCCAAACCCCTTCCTTGGCCAGCGGTGAAGGCAGTGTCCGGCCTGTGTGCCGTGAAGTAAAGGTGGACATAAATTTGGGTTAAATTCTCGTCCCGTGATCTGCCAGCCACGGCCAAGCACTTGGAAAGGGGTTGCCCCTCGTGGTTGTCAGCGGTCCCCGCGGGCGATTTGAGCCCCCGGGGGGATATGCTTGCTGCCTGCAAAGGGGGCCGGCCACGCTGGGAAGGTGCGAGTGGGCAGTGGATTTGGGCTCTGAGTCAGGGCATGAAGCTAGGGGTAGACTGGGGGAGCCACAGGGCCTTGTTTCAGCCTTGCTTCCTGCAGGGAGGCTCCCGGGAGGGCAGAGCTGCCCTGAATCTGCCCCTGCTTTTCATGTCAAGTTGGATGGATCTGCTTCAAAATCTGGTTCCACTTAGTGGCCGCTGACCTCGGCAGACGGCACGGCGACCCTGACCTGCCTCGGCTGGCCAAGGGTCAGGTGGGTCAGGGAGCCCGCCCTGTGCCGCCTGGCCCGCAGTAGGTGCTCATTAAACGGCGATGCTGTCGCCTGAGCCCACCGCCCCCCCCCCCCACCAGGTCCAGTGGACGTGAAACTAGTGCAGTGCAGGTGGGTGGTGGCCTGCCTGTCTCAGTTCTCCTGCGTCGTTTTATTTGCGCCGCCTTCCGGAGCCCAGCCTGGCCCTCCTGCTGGCCTTGCCCGTCTGGCTGAGCTTCCGTGTCCTGCCCTCCTTCCTCCCTGCTTAGTTTTCTAAGCGCAGTGAAGCTGTGATCAAGCACCCTGAGATGGGTTGGACGTGGGGCCAGCCAAGGCTGGGGTGCTGAGACGGGTGTCTCTCCACACAGGGGCCACTGACCAGAGCCCGCTCTGCTGGGCTCGTCCCCGCTGATGTTGGGGGACGGGACCCCCTGGAAAGCATACACAGGCCAGGCTCTGGCTCCGCACCACCACCTGCCCGGCTCCAGGTCACAGACACGGGGACTGAAGCCGCCCCGGGCAGCCGGGCAGGGCCGCTGTGGACGGGCGGCAGAGCCGGGGCTCCAGCCTGCGGGACGAGGCAGAGGGGCAGCCAGGCCTCACTCGGGCGTGGCTTCCCGGCCGGCCTGGGGGGACATCCTGTGACAGTTGGCAGGTGGCGCTGCGCACAGAGACAGCGGGCGCTCACGAGGGCCCCACGGCCGGTTTGCCTTTTGCCCTTGGGGAGCTCTGCCCCGTGGGGTCAGCTGCTCAGTCCAGGTGGGCCTGTGGTGCTCGGAGGTGTCAGACCACTAAGGTATGACGGCGACTCTGCCCTTGCTGCTGGCCCGGTCCCTGCCGGCCGGACCTGCCTGGAGCCCCTGTTGAGAGTGATGCTGAAGTCGGTCCCCGGACATGGGGCAGGGGCTTGGGGTCAGTTGTGGTCTCCCAGAGTCGGGGGGCAGGGATTTGAGGGGCCCTGCTCCTTTCTCAGCTTGCCTGGTCATCCTTCGCTTATGTCCTAGGACTCAGGAGAGGAAAGGATCCTTATGGTGTGGCTGGCTCGTCAGTCTCAGGCTGGTTTAGAATTTTCCAGATTTTTTTTTTTTTTGTCATTATTTAGAAGGTTTGTAAAGCGTTCACGTCCTGTCTGGGTTCTGGGTATCATTCTTTTTCTAAGCGGCTGCCTCTCAGCTTCCCAAGTCTCCCAGCATTATTGGGAGTTGTTCCTTGAGAAGGGAGCATGCATGCATGCTCGGTCGTGTCTGAGTCTCTGCAACCCCATGGACTGTAGCCCACCAGGCTACTCTGTCCATGGAGCTTTCCAGGGCAAGAATCCTGGAGTGGCTTGCCATTTCCCACTCCAGGTTGGGAAGGGAAAAGGCATTCCTTGGTTCCTCTGTTCATTTCTTGGTTCCACTCCTCTATTAAACATCCAATAAGCCCCCAAGAATTTTTTAAATTCTTTTATTTTTTGATGGAAGGGTAATTGCTTTTATTTTTTTAGTTTATTTTTTAAATTAATTGGATAATTAATTTAATTTAATTATTGCTTTACAGAATATTGGATATTTGCTTTACAATAATTGCTTTACAGAATTTTGTTGTTTTCTGTCAAACCTCAACGTGAATCAGCCATAGGTATATATATATACCCCCTCTCTCACCCCCAAGAATTTATTAAACACTTAATATGCTCGAGATACGATGGAAAGATTTGCATGAGCTTTGCCCTCTGAGGGTCCCCCACATTAGCAGCTGTGCAATTCATGGTGAAAGGAAGAGTGGGCAGGTGAAGGCTCTGAGCTCTCCCCCTGGAACTGCCTGGTGCTGGCCCACTGTACAGTCGTGACCACCCTGGGGCTCGTCTTCTGGACGTGAGTGTGGGGCGGGCCGGTCACTCAGGACTTGGCTGCGGCAGAAGCCCCCGTCGTAGGGGGTGATCACCTCTCCCCAGCAAACCGCCTTGCGGTGTCTGGCTGATTCACGGGCGTTCTTCCTGTGTCCAGAACCAGCGGGGCCCTGGGCTTCCCCTTCCCACCTTCCCTTTTGGGCTGGTGTGGAGAGGAGCTGATGCTTTGGGGTGTATGACGTTCCAGAAGGTGTTTCCCTGACCCCAGGCTGGCAGAGCTCTCTCTGCTCCCCAGCCTGGGAGAGACCCTTGGCAAATGCCTCAGTGGGGTGGCAGGCAGGTGGGCCCCAGAGACCCTCAAGGCCTGCGGGAGCCCTGGGTGCAGCCAGCCCGTGCTCATCTGTAGCATGGTGATCGACGGCGGGGGCCGGGGGTGCTTCCTGCGGGTTAGATCCGACTTCCTGTGGATCTTCCCATGGAGCGGGTCCTCCCGTGGATCCTGCAGCTCGGACTCCGCGTTACTGGGACTCTGAGGTTTCCTTTCTGCAGAGCAGAGCGGGGACAGGATGGCCCAGAGCATGGCCGTGTCGTGGACTCAGCCAGGAAGTGAATGTCTAGGTCCTGCTGTTTTTGTTAGCAGTTTGGTCCTCTTCTTGCTCACCCACCCAGCAAGCTCAGCAGGAGCGGAAGGATCCAGAAAGCTGGTTCTGGACCTTTGTTTTTGTGGCTCCATCCCTGGTATTTCCCCAGGGGTCACATTAGACATATTAGGTTTCTGCTCACACCCATCCTGTTGAGCAAGATTTGAGCTAAGAGGCAAGCCGAGGGCCTGAGCTGGGAGCCAGCCTGCCGCCGAGCCCGGGCCCCGCTCCTGTCCCTACGGCGTGCGTGTCCTTCTCGGGGTCCCCCTGTGTCCTGTCCCAGGCGTCTGGCCGGTGCGCCGGGCCTGGGAAGGAAGGACACGGGGGCAGGCCACGTGGGTGGCCTGTGTGGGTTGCGTCTTCACGAGACTCCTCCCTGTGGAAGCGGGCTGGTGGTTTTGGACGGAGGGCCCTGGCGAGTTTGTAGGGTTTCTGCGGCTTCCTTCTGATGTTTTGGCCCCGGAGCCACAGATGACTGTCGCCGCAGAATGCCCGCCTCATCTCCTTGCTGTGAGC